GACAGATTAACAGGAGAAAAAGAAACAAAATTTAGTTTCTGTGCATGCAGGTCTCATAGAAATGGAGTCTAAGAAATGGCCAGGGGGATTCCCTGGTAGTCTAATGGTTAGCACTTGGCGCTTTCACTGCTGAGCCCTGTTCGGGGAACTGTTCCCCAGTTTGGAGAATTAAGATCCTGCCAACTGCTTGGGAGGGCCAAAAAAAGGGGGGTGGATTATACCTCCTAGGATCATTGACGAATGCAAGAATTGCAAGAACGCAATCATGGTGGTAGATAGAAATATAATACCCTCATAGATTATGAAAAGGCCTTTGAGAGCGTCCCTGGTGGCTCAGTGGTAAAGAATTCGCCTCCCAATGCAGGAGACATGGGTTAGATCCCTGATACGGGAAAATCCCCAAATCCTGTATGCTGAGGGGAACTAACCCCCTGAGCCACGACTACGGAGCCCAAGCTCTAGGGCCTGGGAGCTGCACCAAGAGAAGCCGCCACAATGAGAAGCCTGAGCACAACTGGAGAGTAGCCCCCACTCTCTGCAACTAGTGAAAAGCCTGCATGGCCGTCAAGCCTGGGCACAGTCCAAAACAAGGCTTCTGACAAAATTTGGGACATTTCACTATCATTCATATTATTTTACATTACAAAGTACTAGCCAAGGAACTAACAAAGAGAAGTCAGAGGTATGAAGGTCATCAGAGGGCCATACTGTCACTATTTGCATGAAATGTTCCCCAATCTAGGAGATTCAAATGAAAAACTACGGTGAAACAGGGAATTCAGGATGTTAACAGGCTATCAAATAAATATGCAGCAATGAATTATTTTCAAATATACGGGGGCAAGCTTTTAGGAAATATAACACAGGGACTTCCCTGGTACTCCAGTGGCTAAGACTCTGAGTTCCCAATGCAAGGGGCCCGGGTTCAAGCCCTGGTCAGGGAACTAGATCCCACAAGCTACAACTAAGAGCCCGCATGCCACAACTAAAGATGCTGCCTGCTGCAAATAAGACCCGGCATAGCCAAATAAATAAATATTTAAAAAGGAAGGAAATATAACACAGATAATCCTCATTTACTATAGAAAAACCATAAAAGATAAAATGATTAGATCCATGAAAGACCTACTTTAGGAACTTTCATTTAAGGACAGACATTGATACTCTTCTGGAAGACACAAAGGAAGTTTTTAACAAATGGAAAGACAGGACTTACTTCCTTGATGGCGCCGTGGATAAAAATCTGCCTGCCAATGCAAGAGACATGATGGGGCGAATTCCACATGTAGTGGAGCAACTAGGCCCGTGAGCCACAACTACTGAGCTTGCGCGCCCAGAGCCTGTGCTCCACAACACGAGGAGCCACCGCAATGAGAAGCCTGCGCACCGCACCGAAGTGGGGTGACCCCCGCTCGCTGTAACTCGAGAAAAGCCTGCCCAAAGCCATGAAGACCCACCGCAGCCAAAATAAATAAATAAAGTTCAATTTTTAAAAAATGGAAAAACGAATCATTTGGGTATGTTAGAAATAGCAGTTATTCCAGATTTATTAAGTATTAAATGTAATGTGATTCTAATAAATAACTTTGTTCAAAATAAGGTAAGCTGACTTTAAGGTTGATATAGTAATAAACAGAAACAAAAAGAGCCAGAACACTCTGAAAATGGAGTATAACGAGATGGGCTTCCCTGGTGGTTCAGCAGCAAAGTATCTGCCTGCCAATGCAGGAGATGCAGGAGACGTGAGTTTGATCTTTGGATTGGGAAGATCCCCTGGAGAAGGAAATGGCAACCCACTTCAGCATTCTTGCCTGGGAAACTTCATGGACAGAGAAACCTGGTAGGCTGTAAACTTTGGGGTCGCAGAGAGTGGGACACAACTTAGCGACAAAGACCATTGCCATTACATGTAAAATTAATTAGAGAATTTAAGCTACAGTTTAGTATATGATGAAGAAGCATCTTTAGACAAAGTTAGGAGGGAAAAGCTGGGCTAGTCAGTAACTGGTGTTGGGGCAGCCATCTAAAAAAGAAAATTAGATCGTTACTTTATACTGTATGTACATCAGGATAAATTCCATATGGTTCAAAGATTCACATATGAATAATGAAACCATACACATACATACATACCAAGAAAACCTTGAGGTTCAAAATCTTGCAGGTTTCTCTCTCTCTTTTTTTTATGGCCATGCCAGGAAGCTTGCAGAATCTTCGTTTCCCCACCAGGGATCAAACCCATGCCCCAGCACTGAACTGGTAAGAAATTCCCCAAATCTGGCAGGTTTAAAAGAAAAGAGGAAACAAAAGCAAAAATCTCCATGCCAAAAGGCTTTCAGGAAAATGAAAGACAAATGACAAAACAGGAAAAAAATATCCATAACTCACATTATAATCTATTATCATGTCTCATCTCACTATGTCATTAGTAGTTACCACAGTCAATAAAGAAAGGACAAAATGATTCAGGAGAGAAAGAGAGAAAAGATATGAACAGGGGCTTCCCTGGTGGCTCAGTAGTAAAGAATCTGCCTGCCAGTACAGGAAACATGGGCTCAATCCCTCATCTGGGAAGATCCCAAAGGTCTTGGAGCAACTAAGCCTGTGCGCCTCAAGTATTCAGCCTGTGCTCTAGAGCCCGGGAACTGCCTACACGCCACAGCTACTGAAGCCCGCAAGCCCTAGAGCCCAAGCTCAACAAGAGCAGCCACCACAATGAGAAGGCACGCACTGCCAACAGAGAGTAGCCCCTGGTGTCTGCAACTGGAGAAGGCCCACACAGCAAACGAAGACCCAGAACAGCCAAAAATAAAGTAATAAATAAAATTACATACATGCAAAAGAGATGAACAGATAGTTCATGGAAAAGGGAATACATGTGAGTCAAACGAAGAGACATTTAACTTCACTCATAATGAGAGAAAAGCAAGTTAAAACTCTTATGCCATTTTCCACCTTTCTAGATTGGCAAAATTCAGACATTTGATAACACTGTTGGTGAGGCTATAGGGGAAATGCCGACCACCAGCAATTGCTGGTGGGAGTGCAAAGTGGTAAAACAAGGATGGAAGGCAACATAGCAATATCTATAAACTTTCAAATGGGTGCATTCAGCTCAGAATTCTCACTTCTGGAAATCCTACAAACTTACGTACTACGGAGAGCTTCCCAGGTGGAGCTAGTGGTGAAGAACCTGCCTGCCAATGCAGGAGATGTAAGAGATGCAGGTTTGATGCAGGTTCAATCCCTGGGTCGGGAAGATCTTCTGGAGGAGGGCATGGCAACCCACTCCAGTATTCTTGCCTGGAGAATCCCATGGACAGAGGAGCCTGGCAGGCTACAGTTCATAGGGTTACACAGAGTTGGACATGATTGAAGCGACTTAGCATGCACGCACATACTACAGATATTCTATATAATAAAGAATCTAAGATGTGCCATTATTTTTATGAAAATGCTGTATTCACCATCAAATGTAAGATAGACCTCAATTTCAGAGATGTCAATATATGAAAACTGCATTTAGAATCAGAGTAATACTACATTTATGCCCATTCTATGAGATATGCAGACAAGATTATTATAGCTTTTCATTTTTTGGCCAATAGAAAATGATGGGAAAAAACCTAAATGCCCATCAGTATGTTCCTGGTTATGTAAATTACAATGTAACCACAGAATGGAATGAAATGCACCTCCTTCGGTTCTTACTGAAAATGCAATGGATAAATCAATATAATTTGCCAACTTCTGTAATGAAGAAAGCAAAACCAAAAAACCACCCAGCTTTGCATTTACTTATGTATATATAGGGAAACTGGAAAGACAGAAGTACTGTGGTTACAGATGGGAATTGTACTCAGCACTGGGTGGAGGGAGGACAGAGATAGAAGACTTTTCATTGTGCACTTTATATCTGGGGGCCTTATAAATATTTACCAAAAAGGTATTAAAAAAGAAAAAAATCCAGAAATTTCAGATATTCTTGAACACACAATTTATCATATAATATATACAGCATTGACTTTGCTTGTCGTTTGAAATGCCTCATAAAACACAAAACCAATCTTACACTAAAAACTTCTATTGAAACTGACATGAAGAAAACTCAAGAATCATCAGAACTGACAATTTCCAGTTCTCTCCATGGCCTTCCAGTCCTACAGGAATTCCTGTTCCTACCACTGCTATTTGATGATTTATTTCGTTACCATAGGCTCTATTGGCAGTTTTTCTTCATCAAGTCTCAATTTTAGAAAACCATTCTTTTTTTTTGTGTGTGTGTGTGTGTGTTCAACAAATTTATTTTTATGCCCACAAATTATTTTGTTCAAACCCCAAAGACAAAATGTTGCTTCAAAGGATTCCTGACTCCAGGAACGTGGATCCTCCAGTCTGCAGGGGGCTGGGAGAGGATTCCTTTCAATACATTTTAGGGTTCTTGTTCATTTTTACCTGTGGTCAACCTAGGACCTCTTAGGGCATGATGTTTCAGTGCTCCTCTTCCACGCGTTAAAGGGCCATCCCAGCGACCACTACTAGTGCAGCGGGCCACACCGCAGACCCTATGGCTATTAAACCCACAGACGCAGAACCCTTTGCCATGAAGAAGATTATCCCGCTTTTCACGCCAGTCATCTTCTCAAGGTATCAGAGTTCACCCCTTTTGAAAGAAGCCGAGCTCTCTCCTCTCCGACTCTCAGCTCTAACTCGGCCAGACCCGCAAATGGACTTGTAGAAAACCATTCTTCACTTCAGTGAAGCAATTTGAAAAGCCATTTCCACAATGCTGGGAAAAGAATCTGGGTCAATCACAAACTCAAAGGACGTCAGAAGAGTTTTTCCCATTTCTTCCGAGTTTTTCTTGATAAGCTTCCTTTTTTTCCCCAACTGTGCTTTGCCTTATTCTCACGTACTTTGACTTTGTAAAATCAAGTTACAGGAGTGGTATATAATACTGTCTTGAAGGCAGAGGTTCTGAAAGTAGTTGCATCATTAAACTATTCTCTACTGATATATTTATCACAACCAAGTTCCTCTATCAGAGGATTGATAATTTCAGATGCAGTCAGAGTTATACTAAATGTTAAAATATCAAAATCCATCCTCTGAGGATTCCGCTGATACTCGGCGTCAAACGCCGCTTCCCTGGCTCTGCAGGCTTCCACAAATCTCCTGCGGCGCCCTTCAAGCTCCTGGATTCGGCCAGGAGCAATCGGGTAGTGTTCCAGATAGTGGCGGAGGAACTGCTGGTAATTAATTCCTAAAACGCCAAGTGGGTGACGGAGGCGGAGATATGGCAACGCAGCAAGGCCTGGGCCGTTCCCGGGCCTGGACCGGGGTCTGCCCTCGGGACCCTCTTCCTCCGCTGGCTCCGCCAACAATCGGGCGACCTCTGCCATCCGGGCTTCCCTGGCCGCTGCCCCCAGGCCTTCTCTGGACGCCGCCATCGGACCTTCCCTGGCCTCCGGCCCCGGACCTTCCCCGGGTGAAGCCATTGGACCTTCTCCGGCCGCCGCCATCGGACGGTCCCTGGCCTCCACAGGCTGCGCGGGGGCCGGCTCCGGCCTCCTGCCGCCTACCTCCGCCTGCCGGACTTCGCCGTTGTCATTTATTGCGCCCGCCGGTGGGACACCTTTGTCCGTGGGCAGCTCGGACATCCCGGGTCGCGGGGTCAGGTCGGCCGCTCCCACAAATACTGGGATAACGGCACAGCGCGGTTAGCGATGTGCACGTACGTGCACGTAACTGCGCGTGCGTGAGCGCTGTGCACACTGCTCCACGCTGTGTGTGCAAACTCAGGTGCACGAGCGGAGGGTGTGCGGCTGAAATTGAGCACTGCGCATGCGTCCTGCCCGCGCGCCTGCAATCTTCCAGGTGCCACCTAGCGGCTGGAAGACCCAACACACCTGAAATCTTCCCGGGAACGTCTGAGGGCGGTGTGTTAAGTCGCTTCAGTCGTGTGTCCCACTCTTTGCAACCCTATGGACTGTAGCCCGCCAGGCTCCTCTGTCCATGGGATTCTTCAGGCAAGGATACTGAAGTGGTTTGCCATTCTCTCCTCCAGTGGACCACCTTTTGTCAGAACTCTTCACTATGACCTGTCTTGGGTGGCCCTGCAGGGCACGGCTCATAGCTTCATTGAGTTCGGCACGTCTTTTCACCCCAACAAGACTGTGATCCATGAAGGTGTGCGCCACCAGGAAAGTCCTTTAAACTTTTTTTTTTTTTGTACAACATACCATGCAGAAAAAAATATACAAAATATAAATATACAACCGAATGACATCGCAAAGTGAACATCCGTATGACCACCACTCGGGTCAAGGAATTATTTCTAGTATCCCGGAATCCTTCCTCCCTTCTTAATACTTTCTACCCGGGGGTAACTGGTATAGTAGTGATAATGGTAGTCATTTTCTTGCTTTTCTTTTTGTTTTACTACCTAGGGGTGCATTCCTTAATTTTGCTTGTTTTTTTTTTTTTTTTTAAGTTTATATACTCTTGTGTCTGGTTTCTTTCACACATTATTTTTACGATTCACCTATGTTTTTCATTGTAATTATAAATAGATAATTTTCTTGATAGTTACACGTTCATTACCATTATTTTTGTCTCATTGCAACATGCATCTTAAGTACTGACTCTCCAATTATTTTTTCTTTATTCTAATTAACATGAGAAATATAAAGAAATTCCCCCTTTAATGTTGCTCTCAATAACCCCCGTTGTGATGTCATGATTCACGGGCATCAGCAAATATAGTGACTCACTGTTTTCTGCCCTGTCAGGAGCAGTTATTTTGAGACATTAGGTCTCATCTCCAGATCATAAAGTTGAATTTTTATTTTCCTAAGCACTACATTGATAAAACACAACATCCAGCCTGTGTTGCTTCAAACACAGCTTCCCCCAGCCTCTCTGCAGTCTCTTAAGTGTATGTGGCTCCTTTAAGGTGCCCAGGCTAGTTTGGAGACCTAAGGTCCATTGCTGCCACCCTCAGGCTACCTGGAAAATCACAAATATTTAATAAAAGAATTTCCAGACTTAGATGGGATAGGAAGAGCTCTAAATAAAATCATGGTTTACTCGGGTCTTCCCTGGTGGTACAGTGGATAAGAATCCTCCTGCCAATGCAGAGGACACAGGTGCAATCCCTGGTCCTGGAAGATCCCTCATGCCACAGAGCAACTAAACCTGAGAGCCACAACTACTGAAGCCCGTGAGCCTAAAGCCTGTGCTCCGCAACAAGAGAAGCCACTGCAATGAGAAGCCTGTGCACTACAATGAAGAGTAACACCTGATCGCTGCAACTACAGAAAGCCCGTGCATAGCAACAAAGGCCTGGGGCAGGCAAATAGACAAATAAAATTATGATGTTTCGGGAATTCCTTGGCAGTTCAGTGGTTAGGACTCTGAGCTCCCTGCCGAGGGTATAGGTGTGTGATGCGGCCCCCAAAAATCTAAAACACCTCCCCCCAATTTTGGTGTGTTGAACAAAAATGCTCATGTGGGGGAGATGAAAGCAAATGTTTGAGATAGATTCCAGGCTAGCTATTGCTCCCAATATTTTTCCTGTGTAGTGGCTGCAGGATCCTTGTCTCTGACTCATTACCAGTGTTTCAGAGTCATTTGAGGACAATTTCAGTCATGCTGCAGACTAAACAATCAAGGGAGCTGATACCAGGGGCTCCATGCTGATATATTCTTTACAGGAAAAATAAGAGAGATTATAAGGAAAGAGACAGGATCTGCTTTTCCCAAAGGCTGCAAAGTCTGTGATAAATAGCACTGATGGGAAATTTGTCCTTACTCTGACCAAAGATATCCTTTAAAGGATAAATACCTATGTTAACCTCGAAATTAAATCTGTACTTTTATGGATATGGGATGAAACCACAACTCAGAATGTGCACTTGGCTTAAATAATTGGGGGAATCATAACATCCTTCTTGCATCTGTTTTTCCCCCAAAGACTATTTTTTTAAAAATTACAATTTTATTTATTTGTGGCTGCGCTGGGTCTTCATTGCTGTGTGTGGGTTTTCTCTAGTTGCAATGCGCAGGTTTTTCTTTGAGGTGGCTTCTCTTGTTGTGGAGCACAGGCTCTACGTGCATGGACTTCAGTAGTTGCAGTACTTGGGCTTAGTCTCTTCAAGGCATATGGAATCTTCCTGGACCAGGAATTGAACCTGTGTCCTCTGCACTGACAGAAAGAAAGAAGAAGAAAAATGTAGCTCAGTTGTGTCCAACTCTTTGTGACCCCATGAGGTATAGAGTCCATGGAATTCTCCAGGCCAGAATACTGGAGTGGGTAGCCTTTCCCTTCTCCAGGGGATCTTCCCCACCCAGGGATCGCACCTAGGTCTCCTGCATTGGCAGGCAGACTCTTATCAACTGGACATCCAAGGAAGTCCCATTCTTGCATCCTTATTACCCATGATTATCCTAGGCTTTACATCTCCTGTTCAGTAGATAGGCTTGAACTGACTTAATGGTAGATATGACCAACTTAGACAGCATATTAAAAAGCAGAGACATTACTTTGACAACAAAGTTCCATCTAGTCAAAGCTATGGTTTTTCCACTAGTCATGTATGGATGTGAGAGTTGACTATAAAGAAAGCTGAATGCCGAAGATGATGCTTTTGAACTGTGGTGTTGGAGAAGACTCTTGAGAGTCTCTTAAACAGCAAGGAGATCCAACCAGTCCATCCTAAAGGAAATCAGTCCTCAATATTCATTGGAAGGACTGATGTTGAAGCTGAAACTCCAATACTTTGGCCACCTGATGTGAAGAACTGACTCATTGGAAAAGACCCTGATGCTGGGAAAGATTGAAGGCAGGAGGAGAAGGGGATGACAGAGGATGAGATGGTTGGATGGCATCACCGACTCAATGGACATGAGTTTGAGTAAACTCCAGGAGTTGGTGATGGACAGGAAGAGCTGGTGTGCTGCAGTCCATGGGGTCGCAGAGAGGAACATGACTGAGCGACTGAACTGAACTGACATGGTAGATATAGGTGCCTCTTTCTCTAAAGGGCTTTTCCATATTTGCCTCTCTCTTCTGAGCTACTTAATGCTGCCGTGAGACCTAAGCATGATGTTACAAGCCTTGTCTCTTTTCCCAAGATTGTTACTGTGCTAGATTAATGGTAAAAGTAGCCCACATTCTCCATCCTCTCTGTTTCATAGACCCTTTGTGATAAGAGTTTGCAGTTCTTCTCATCAGAAGGTGGATTGTTTTTCTCTATCCCTTGAATCTGAGCTGGCCTTGTGACTTGCTTTGACCAGTAGGATGAGGCAGAAATGATGGTGTGTCAGTCTCGAGACTGGGCTTCAAGAAGCATTTCTTCCATTCTCTCTTGGACTCCTGTCTCGACCATGAGAACAACCCTGGACCAGCTTGCTGGATGGTGGAAGACAATTTGGGGCTGAGGAAAGTGGTCTCAGACAAGGCATATAAGACCAGTCAGTCCTTGGATTTTTTTTTTTTTTTCGGTCCTGGGAATTCTGTCTGTTCAGTGCTTAGGACTCTGGGCTTACACTGTTGGGGCCTGGGTTCAATCACTGGTCAGGGCAGACCAAAAAAAAAAAAAATCAGTCCCCAGCTGGGCTAGACTTAGGCTTAGGCTCATAGGCTAAATAAATGCTTGTTATTTTATGTTGTTATGATTAATGTGAATTGCCATGCAACATTATTACCACGACAGGTAACTGTTCCAGAAATTGGTATCAGGAGGTAGGTAATATCCTAAGAAAAGGCTAAAATACAGAGCGAAAGCTGTGAGGAAATTGTTAGTGGAGCAGAAAAAATGATGATGCATGTTACATTGTAGTGAAATAATTGGCCAGCTGTTGCCTGTGATTACCCAGAAATAGAAACAGAAATAGAAAATGGAAAGTATTTGGCTAAGGCAATACTGAGACATAATGCTGGTTACTCACTGCTAAGTATCATAAGGGTTAGCAAGAAAGGGCTGACCTATAGAAGGAATTGACTGATTTCTCAGAATTTAGAGGAATTACAGAAGGCCTTTGACTTGCTAGTTTGGGAAGGAAAAGCTTTGCTCATATCCAGTCTCTCCAGTCACAAAAGGCGGTCAAAGTGAAAAAGCCTGTGAGTACTGATCAAATTAAAGGTGTGGCTTTATGACCCTTTATTAAGAGCTCAAAAATATGAGGCAGTGCCTCCCAATGAGACAAAAGGATTTCTAGAAAGTTTATGGGCATGGTCCTGTAGAAAAATGATCTTAATACAGGAAGAAGTCTAGAAAGCAAGGTGCCCCCAGCTTTTTGAGATGAAGTGACATGTAATATTGTTTAAGTTTTGGGCCTCCAGGTGGCTCAGATGGTAAAGAATCTGCCTGCAATGCAGGAGACCTGGGTTCGATTCCCGGGTCAAGAAGATTCTCTGGAGAAGGGAATGGCTACTGACTCCAGTATTCTTGCCTGGAAAATTTTCATGAACAGAGGAGCCTGGGGGGCTACAGGCCGTGGGGTTGCAAGGAGTCGGACATGACTGAGTGACCAATTCTCCCCACTTCCCCCACTTCCCAGTCCCTAACAGCCACCAATATACTCTCTGCTTCTGTGACTATGGATTTTTTAGTTTCCACATATAAGTGATAACATACAGTATTTGTCTTTCTCTGTC